CGTTTATTTCAAGATCTTTAATTATAAAGTAACTTCTCCAAATTAAAACAGTCAGTACAGTGTTGTTTCCATCAGGTCAGCGGAGTTCATAGACGTCAGTTCCTGTAGAATTTGCAAACACCGCTTACCGTGCGATAATACCTAGGTATACGCAATATCGAAAGGTTATGGCCATTCCCATTGCAAAAAATTGCAAACCTAGCATCGATTCCCAATATAAATAGTACCCGAGTCGATAAGGCATCATTATTATCAATACAAGTCATCAGTAATTATCAATTAAAAAATGTTCTCCGTCTCCCCGACTTCAATCCTGCTGGTCAACCCCATGCTAGACGTTATAATGTAAGCACTGCTTTTGTTTCTGAGTGTTGTTTTGCGTTGTGTTCTATTTGGCAAGCCATTATGTTCTTTTTCTTTGCTAACCTGCCATGTGGAAAGCATTTATCCACGATTTTTCCATTCAATCAATAAATGTAAAATTTCATATGAAAACTGTCTTGACTTTTTATTTGGGGATGAATGTGGTTGGGTGGTGAAATGATCAAAACCTCTCGTCAAAAAGCCAAGCGAGTAGCTAACTTACGACGTATAGGAGGGTCAACACCTGAGTTGCGAAAATACAATCGACATATAGAAAAAGATGGATTCGAAAAAAAAACTAATATTCAAATGAATGTGGAGACAACCAATAAAATAGTGGTGCCCGCGAGAGTCTCGTTTTCGAGAGTCTCGCATGATGGTCTCGTCTCGTTTTCGAGACAAGACTCGAGACGAGAGTTGGACAAGACGACACGAGACTTTCATTGGTCTCGTCTCGAGTCTCGTGCAAGTCTTCTCGTTTCTCGTGCGAGAGTCTCGCAGGTAAATATTTCTGCGTGCCGACTTGAGAATTTCATTCATATTACAACATATTCAGAAAGAATTCTATAAGAAAACATCGAATTCGCCTTAATAATGAATCTGCACGATGTTTGTTATGTCTTAACGACTGGGTGAAAAACAAAAACAGTTGCTATCGTGAAGGATGATCTGACTGATTGAGGTTTTTTTCTTAGATACCTATTTCTTAAATGAATAAAATAATGTTAGATAAAAGTTTTTGTTTTGTTTATTTGTTTAGAATATACGTGTTACTTTTTATCTAATTTTCATAACTTTCGAATATATGATTCTATGTTTTTTTTCTTGTTTACATGTATGATGTGAGTATGTACCTATTATAGGTACCTACTTACTTTTCAATAAATAATGTTATTTTTGTTGTAATTTTCTCTTCCTACTTCTACATTATACCTAAAAAGTAGCTGAAGGTAGATATCCTGTACTAGACTGAAACAAGATTATGCATGACCAAATTGCGATACATTTGCGAGACTCTCGTACGAGACGCCAGACAAGAGGCTGCGAGACGAGACTCGAGACATATTTCATTGGCGAGACGAGACTTTATGAAAGTCTCGTCTTGTTGGTCTCGTGTAAATCACTACAATAAAATATTATTATTTCCATTTCTGGCGTTTGTTTCTTGTTATGCCAGGGACGCTGTGTGGCAAAGGCCATATACCCTCGCTCCCTATGGCCCAGTCCGCCTCTGGCCGGAACAAAGGGAAATAGATGAGATAATTCCATTACGGGAGTGTTATTTCGCCATTGAAGACGAAAGAACCGTATAATCGTGATTCTATACACGAACGGAAATAAAACCCCAGAAAATGTGTTTCGAGTATCAATTTTGGCCGAGAGTTGGAGAATATAGGGGGAGATATGAGGGGCGGCTGAAGACAGAGCTATGAGGGTCGCGAGAAACTTCAATACAACTTTCAGTTTGAAAGAAATGGGCCTTGGCAGGGTGTCGAGATTATTTCGGTGAAGCTTCTCGGCCGACGAAAAGCTCTGGGAATTCTCAGAAAATATCGGTTTTTCTGATGTCACTCGCTCTATTGGAAGATGAGTGGGCAACAAGAAATAATCTGATGCCGTCAAGATTAATGAACTAGCTATTTCGTTTCATTCTGCCATTCTGGATATGAGGAGGAGATAAACCGCAACAGTTAGTCCCTTCTGGATGTGGATCGGTTTTTTTTTCAGGCAGATATTCGGGCAGATATACTCGGGCATATTATGATAACTGTAAATAGTAAAAACGGAAGGATAGCCGACATTTCTGCTGACGTCAATTTTTGTGATCCAATGATGGTCATTTCTATAGATATTTGGTGTACATAAGTCATTATTTTGACCTTTTCCATGATTTTGTTGACGAGGTGGATACAAAACAAATGGCATCAGAGATCTTACTATCATTAGCTATAATATTAAACTTCAATTCTCACCACTTATTGTTCAATTATAGCTTCCTGTGTAGACAGCATATTGACAACAATTTGAAATTTGAGAAGATGAGCAGTGTTAAATAAATTGGAATGTACAGGATATTACCACAATTACCACTACACTCATCAGTTGGGGTTGAATCACCCAGGAAGTTCGGTGAACCTGTAACACTAGTGTCAGTCTTTCGGTATTTCTATTGGAAAGGTTCAGTCGTGGTTCATGGGAAGTCATTTGGTGTCGATCGAAAAATTTCAGAAACTTATTGGACACTTTGGATGTCATTGGATAGTCTCAGAAATTCATGGGAATTCATTTGGAATATTATCTGGAACACCCTGTATATTTCTATATATTCAAGTTCAACAAGTCAAAATAAGTGCAATTTCAATAACAAATCTAATTTTTTCGAAAAAATGTAAATACATTTTTTTTTCCTCTTGGATAAATGATACGTGGTCAAGGTTATTCAAAATTTTATTGAAATCGGTCAGAAACGAGGTCAGGAATGAAATTATCTATGTATCACGGGAATTAATGAGTTCTAATAACGAGCAATAACCCCAAGCCATTGCTGTTCCTCGGGCCAGAGGCCCTCAGGACGCTGATGGGATTAAGAATTATTTTAATTGGGAGATAGAAGTCAGAATTAATCTGAGATTGAATTCAGAAATATGGTATAATCCGGATATAAAAGTATTAGTATCAAGATGAAGCGGAGTTGTTTTAGGTTATCAATCCAGCTGATCTTGATGATAGTAATAGTGGATCCAATTTAGTTGGAGGATTCTGACTGTTTAAATCACAATAATCCTGAATTCTCTCTTCAAATTTTCTTACAATTCTGAATTTTATCTCAGAATCATAATGATGCCGACTTGTAACTGAGAATTATAGGGATTATCACTTCCAGAATATTTGAAGTAGTGGCCGTTTTTGCGCACTCATACAAAGTGACGGCGAACTGAGTTGAGTGTTCTATACTAGGTACTATTATAAAGAGGAAATTTCTGATTGTTTGTATTGAAAAGGCTCTGAAACTACTGGACCTATTTGGAAAATTCTTCCACCAATAGAAGCCGAAATTGTCCCCTGATGAACATAGGCTACTTTTTATCGCTTGAAAATGTTTCATTTCTACCGGAAAACGGGTAATAGGACAACGGGTAATAAGAATTGTTATCCTTCCATACTTATCTTCTTCACATAACTTCTAAACGTCTCGACCGATAGGGTTGAAATTTCAAATACGTGAAACAACCAAAAAAATACAAAAGATACTGAGATAATGAAAATAGGTGTAAGTATATAATATACAGGGTGTTCCAAAATTGCTGGGGCACAGAGCTACCACGTGTAATTCAGTTCAAACTAAGTTGATTGGCCCAACTTATTTTTATAAAAAAGTGTACCGTTTGTTCGTGAGATAGTTTACATATTTTTGTACGCTGTTCAAAAATAAGAGGAACAAATTGGATGAAATTGAAAAAAATGCATTTCAGAGGATAACGCTTCCTTCAGTAATCAAAGGAACCTGCAAGAAATTGTAGGAGGGTTGAAATAACCCTCACCCTCTGACATTTTCTTCATAACATTCTTAGTGATTTAGAGATGGTAATAGGGTTGTCAAATTCTTTGAGTATACATATCCTTTTAATATAAATAAATTGGGCCCAATCAACTGATTATGACTTGTATAACTCGTGGTAGCTCTGTGTCCCAGCAATTTCGGGATACCCGTATATTATAGTAGCTAGAGGTAAGCACTCGGTCAAATTTTATCCGATACTCCGTTATTCTCATCACTCAAACTTTTTTATTTGGGCAAAATCATTCAAACAAACCGAATTAGATGAAACCACTCCTCCTATGGACTGGCGATTTTATCAATCGATGTTTTCATATTTTTTTCTCCGATTGGCAGCAAATATTAATTTTGCTGACACAAATCAATCAGCAAAGTATTACTTTTCCTGCCTAGGCAGCAAAGTGGTTACTTTGCTGATTGATATGTATCAGCAAAATAAATAATCCATAAATCGTCCGATACTTCTCCGGCAACAAATTCAACTCTATATTTTTTGCCACCTCTCTCATTTCTGGAGGTGTAAGTACTTCCAAATCGCTATCACTGTCTATTATATAATAATTTAAATATTCCGATATTTTTTCGCACAACTGTCAGAAATTTCATGAATTGTCAAACTATAATTATTATGGACATTTCCATAGCAACCAACCATTCCAACAACTGTGATTTCTATCAAATTTTATTTTAATTGAACACTACAGGAAAAATAAAGATATATATATCATTATGAACAATCGGAGAAAAAATTATATGTTCAACTCGGCAGCAAAGTAGATTGACTGCCTTAGCTGGATTCCTAGCCTCGCTACGCTCGGCTATGAATTCAGCCTCGGCAGTCAATCTACTACTTTGCTGCCTAGTTGAACAAATAGCTATTGCAAAATTAGAAAGTTTTCGTAGAAAGTAAGAAATTATCGATAATATTTGTAGGACTCGTGCTATTACCTTCCAATATTTCACGAATAAAGAAATTCGCGTACTTTTGCAGTGCAATCTCCTATATGAGAGAAATATTCATAGTAAGCCAAGCTCCGACGCCAAAAAACAAACAGACATCATGACTCTACCAACTCACCTAGAAAGCTTCCTGAACTTCACGTCCGCCAACCCGTCCTTCCCGAACTGAAAGCTCCCCCGGTACCCCACCGTGATGCATCCCCCCGGCCTGCACCGCCCGTCCCCCGCCGCCGCCTCCGCCAGTCCCGCCAACCCCAACTTATCCGCCTCCCGCTTCAACCTCTCGCGCTCCCTGAAGCACTCCGGCAGGGCCACGCTGCCGTCCCTCAAAAAGTCCAGCACGTACCGGAACAGCACGCCGTCCCGGTCGAGGAAGAACCGGCCCTTGGCGTCCCTGGCCACCGGCTCTTGGCCGGTGAACATTGCGTGGAGGCGGCCGACCGGTCGGCCAGTCAGGGTGGCCAACGCGGTCGTGTAGAGGACGCCGCCGACGTTGAGGTCGATCACGTCGGGGAAGGCTGCGTCGTCCGACATCGTGGTTGGCGGTGAACTGATGCGAGCGCGAGTGGAGCGAGCGGCGGCGGTTTGGGAGCGATAGCGGTGTTGCCGCAGGTTCTCAGAGCTGGGTATTACCACATGATTCCAGTTGTATTTCAGAAAAAGGCAATTGTTTTTCAGAATAGTCAATTGAATTTCAAAAAGCATCAGTAGTATTTCAGAATAGTCATTTGTAATTCGGGAAGCGTCAATTTTATTTCGAAAAAGAGTAATTTCAATTTCAGAAAGCATCAATAGAATTTCAGAATAGTCACTTGTATTTCAGAAAGGGTCAATTTTATTACGGAATAGATTCATTTCAATTTCAGAAAGCTTCAATAGACTTTCAGAATAATCACTTGTATTTCAGAAAGCGTCAATTGTATTTCCGAATTGTTAAGTGATTTACAGAAAGAATCAGTTGTCTCTCAGAATAGTCAATTGTATTTCAAAAAGAGTCAATTGTATTTCAGAATAGTCAATTGAATATCAGGAAGCATCAGTTGTATTTCAGAATAGTCCCTTGTAATTCAGGAAGCGTCAATTTTATTACGAAAAAGATTCATTTCAATTTCAGAAAGCATCAATAGAATTTCAGAATAGTCACTTGTATTTCAGAAATCGTCAGTTGTCTCTCAGAATAGTCACTTGTATTTCAGAAAGGGTCAATTTTATTCCGGAATAGATTCATTTCAATTTCAGAAAGCTTCAATAGAATTTCAGAATAGTCACTTGTATTTCAGAAATCGTCAATTGTCTCTCAGAATAGTCACTTGTATTTCAGAAAGCGTCAATTGTATTTCCGAATTGTTAGGTGATTTACAGAAAGAATCAGTTGTCTCTCAGAATTGTAAATTGCATTTCAAAAAGAGTCAATTGTATTTCAGAATAGTCCCTTGTAATTCAGGAAGCGTCAATTTTATTACGAAAAAGATTCATTTCAATATCAGAAAGCATCAATAGAATTTCAGAATAGTCACTTGTATTTCAGAAATCGTCGGTTGTCTCTCAGAATAGTCACTTGTATTTCAGAAATGGTCAATTTTATTCCGGAATAGAATCGTTTCAATTTCAGAAAGCTTCAATAGAATTTCAGAATAATCACTTGTATTTCAGAAATCGACAATTGTCTCTCAGAATAGTCACTTGTATTTTAGAAAACGTCAATTGTATTTCCGAATTGTTAGGTGATTTACAGAAAGAATCAGTTGTCTCTCAGAATTGTAAATTGCATTTCAAAAAGAGTCAATTGTATTTCAGAATAGTCCCTTGTAATTCAGGAAGCGTCAATTTTATTACGAAAAAGATTCATTTCAATTTCAGAAAGCATCAATAGAATTTCAGAATAGTCACTTGTATTTCAGAAATCGTCAATTGTCTCTCAGAATAGTCACTTGTATTTCAGAAAGCGTCAATTGAATTTCCTAATTGTTAATTGATTCACAGAAAGAATCAGTTGTCTCTCAGAATAGTCACTTGTATTTCAGAAAAAGTCAATTGTTTTTCAGAGTAGTCAATTGAATTTTAGAAAGCATCAGTTGTATATCAGAATAGTCACTTGTAATTCAGAATGCGTCAAGTGTATTTCGGAATAGTCATTTAAATTTCAGGAAGCATCAATTGTATTCCAGAATAGTCATTTGTATTCCAGAAAGCGTCAATTGTATTTCCGAATAGTCAATTGATTCACAAAAAGAATCAGTTGTGTCTCAGAATTGTCACTTGTAATCCAGGAAGCGTCAATTGTATTTCAGAATAAATAGTCAATTAAATTTCAGAAAGAATCAGTTGTATTTCAGAATAGTCACTAGTAATTCAGAAATCGTCAATTGTATTTCAAATTATATTTTCTGAGATTGAATTGACTATTGTTCAACACACTTGACACTTTCTGAAATTCAATTTACTACTCTGAAATACAATTGATATTCTCTAAAACACAAGTGAATATTCTGAAATATACAACTGTTATCAGGTGTGGTAACCATGACACACATTTTCCATTATTTTCTTCATCAATAAAATATCTAGGAATATCAACTCTGCAACACAGTCTGAAAAGTTGAAAACTGTTTCTATGACCCCATTCCACCTCCTTTCAGTTATACTCCTATATGAAATTCTTTAATAATTCACCCCTACATATCAAACTGGATAAGACTCCCCTACTCACTTTTTATGTAATCTGGAACCCTATTCCATAAATGAATATTTTGAGCAGATCAACTGCTTTGTTCATTCAACAGATGCGTCGATTCTCTTTATTATTCCGGAAATAATGAAACAAAATCTAAACACTCTTAGAACAACATTGTATAGACGTTTTGATTAACATTTAATTAATGTTCTGGATTAACATTGATGTTACGTTATATCTGATACATTCATGTAATATATTCAAATTTCAATAATTATACGAAGAGTTATATCTTTATGTATACAGGGTGTCCTCAAATCCATACATATGGATACTCATCATTACTGAACTCATCCATGGTGTAACTTAAGTATTGAATACTGTCAATATAATTCATGACTGCAACTACCTTGATGTTATTGAATGATTCAAGTTTGTATTACTTTTGAAACAGTTGTGATGTGAGTTTTTAAAATGCGATTTTCTCTATAACAGTACAAGATATCGATTACAATGAAGTATTCTATTTTTGTGGAAAAAAGATGAGGAAAATGTCAAATTTGTCACCTCTGTCAAAAATGCGTCCTTCAAACGGAAAAAATTCTTTCCATCCTGTATATGTCATAATCACTGTATGGCAACCGTGTAGAAGTTATACATGGAATAAGTATGGTCTTTACTTTCAAGGTCTATAGCTCCATAGGGAAGTGCGACATAATTTTTTTTATATGAAGTACTGACATTATTTTGGCACACCCTATCATTTACGACATTACCTATCCGGACACCCTGTCTAGCGTTGGACGATTATTTTTCGTATCGGTGCATCAGTGGAAAGATTATCATCTTCTCGAAAATATGACAATGGCAACCTTGTCTCTGTCCTGCTGAGAGTAGAGTCGCGAAATGTATGCGACAGATGCGTTGGGTGATCATATGGGAGGAAAATAGGGAAATTGGGGAATTCTCGCTGTATAAGCATAGGGTATCGGCGTGGGGGGTAAATGATACGATCGCTAACCTGTCAGGAACTTTGAGATGAAATCAGACCTTGGTGGTTGTCTACGAACATTATTTTCATGCCAGAAAAATACTGAGTATTCGCCTCGACTGGAAAGTAATAACTACTCAGATGTGAGTGATGAGAATATAATACCTTTTTCGACAACTCCCGGACGCTTTCTCTTTGAGGAAGTAGCATTTTTCCGGACTAGGCCGGGAAGTATCACATCGTTGTTGTCACTGTGACAAAATCTTGGCAGATATGGCTTTGATAAATGCAGCAGCGAAATATCGGCTGACTGCGCTATTTTACATGAAATTAGTTGACATTTTGATTTTTGCAATTATCGCAATAAACTATCGAAAGCAGCTGCGATAGTGAGTTTGAAAATGTCCATATGAAATTTCCAATGTAACAGTTAGTAGGTATAGGTATTCTGTTCAAATTTCAGTATTTGATACAAATGAGAAATAATAAAGAAGAAATTGTATTCTACAAAGAAATATAAAATGGAAATGTGTCTCATTAATTTGTTATTCTACATGGTTGCCGAAAAAATAGTATACGCAATACGTCCAAAAACAGTTTTGGACTCGCAGACTTCCAGGACACGCCTACGGCTCGGTCTAGAAAATTGTCTACTCGTCCAAAAAAAAACAGTATTTTCCAGACTTGTTACGTGAATTACTATTTTTGATAATATACTATCACTGCCATGAGGGTGTGACACAAATACGTTGAAATATTCGAATAACGTATTCCTGAGACAAAATTAAGAAAAAAAGTCTATATAAACTTTTCACCGGAAATGCTTCGCTTCGGAGATACAGGGTGTTGAAATTGGATTTTTTTGTCCACTTTCTCGAAATAACATTTGCAAAAAATAAGTTATCCGAACGAAAAAAGTACATTTGACATAAAGATTGCTCTTGTGTTTTTGGTTATTACTGCAATCAGTGTAATATGTAACTGTCCAACAGTTGATTTTACTTTGTTCTTCAATTGATGTTTCTTGTTGCTCATCATGTCGAAATGCTGTTTTTGAAATATGTGATTCATAATGAGTTTGAGAAATATTTCCATGGGACAAAAAGCATCCTCGTTTATTCAGTTGATCCCGAACTCTTCAATAGCCAGAAAAGTACGAATGTTCAGAACTAATCTCAAACTTCTTTTAGGTCGTCATTTTGAAAAATTGGATGCAAGTTTTCCTGTGGCCATAGAAATAAAACTCAGTGAGTTTGGGAAGTTATCGTTGAAATCTTGTGGGTTCCAAATCGATTACAGAACTTTGGCGAACATCTATAACCACAGGCGTCCTTGCCAAATTCGACAGAGGAAGCGCATAAACATAAACATCTTTCATTATTCCAAATTTTTTGGGATTTTCTCTCCTCGTTTCTATAAAATAAAAATATTAATATCATCTCAATATACGTGTAGTATGGACAAATCAGATGATTTGCCTCAAGATGTCACTGCGTTTAAAGAATTTTCCTATCAGAGAGCCTAAAAGAAAAATTCACCAGCTTGTCAGTGACAATTTGTATTGAAAAAAGTTTGGAGAAGAGAAATATAGGTATATAGAAAAAATATCAAATTTTCACTTATCTTTGGACGTTAGACGTTAGAATTTTCTCTGATCTTTCTGAATCTGATGGAATTTTTCGAGAAAAATGGTCACAAAGTGAACTTTTTTGACATAACAATGAAACATAAAATTTTCCCAAGTCCGGACCTGGATATTTTTCTTCATAATGTGTTATCTTGCGAAGTTTCAGTATAGATACGTCGCTGCCAAATTTCAGCAGATTACGAAGAGTCATCTCTGTAATATCGACCATCAAAGTTATATAG